GAAATTTTATGGTTTTTTTCCTGTACCTTTTGTCTTGTTCGTAAGTTTATCTGTTTGGGGGAGGGTAAGAGGGAAACACAGAAATGGTGGGACAAGGGGTGAACAAATGGAGCGGTGATACTCACTGGACACTATGTTGAAAATGAACTGTACTCTTATGGGGGAGGGAGTTGGGGGAAAACAGGCAGAAAATAAGAGAAAACACTTTTCCAAATTATCTGGCCTACATAACTGTAACCCTTCTGTACATTGCCTTTACAATAACAATTTTTTTTAAATCAGGAAATAGTACAGTCCACACAGACCTAAGAACCTATGGCTAGCTAGAAAGCAAAGGTAGTTTATTCCAGTCTCTCGCACTATTCATACAACAAAACTGAGCTTTGGGGGCAACAAATGACATGTCTAAAGTCACCTGAAGCAGAGAGATGTTAGCAGAAAGTAAGGTTCAGATCCCAAGTGTCTTGTACAAAACATTCCCTTCTCCATAATGCTGTCTTGGTCAAAGGCACACCCATTGCTGTCCTCTCGGAAGAACCACCAGAATGAGCTGTTCCTGTAGCACAGGTAAGTTTACTAGACTTCTTGCCTATAGTAGATTGTCAGCTGCCAGAATCTTGGACCCTGGCTCACAGAGGATTTTGACAGTGGCTGTGGATCTAGCCTCAAGGTGAGTCTCTGGAGGTAAAGAACTGATTGTGAATAGGTGTTGGGATTTGAAATTTAGGATTAGAGAAGAAAAGGAGGGAGAATGCTAAGCTTACCTTGATTCCAAACTATTGCTCGATAAGTAAGCCATTGGCTGAGGAGTCCTACACAAACAGCTATTTGCAGGCTGGGAAGGTGGCTCAGTGGTAGAGTGCTTGCCTTGCGTGCATGAGGCCCTGGGCTTGATTCCTCAGCACCACATAAGCAAAAAGAAAAAAGCCGGAAGTGGTGCGGTGGCTCAAGTGGTAGAGCACTAGCCTTGAGCTGAAGAGCTGAGGGACAGCGCCCAGGCCCAAAGTTCAGGCCCCACGACCAGATCCAAAAAACAAAACAAACAAACAAAAAAAAAAAAAAACAGCTATTTGTCAAATGAGTAAATTCTTTTTTCAGTGGAAACTGATTTACAAGAAATTCCTAAGGTAAACATAAAATACTTGCTTCATTTACAGCCTTTACTTCCTGGGCAAAAAATTTTGGTTCTAATAGTTCATTTATATGTCACACAATGCGGTGATCTTAGTTCACTATTATTTTTTATTTTATTGTATTGTAAAGATGCTGTTCAGGGGGTTTAAAGTTACATGAGTAAGGTAATGAGTACATCTCTTATCGAGCATTGTTTATATTTTATTATTTGTAAGTAATTTGTACAAAGGGTTTCAATTCAATGTATCAATAACATAAATGTTCATCAATGTGCCCTTCCAACTTTCTTCCCATCTCTCCCAATCCCACCCATCCCCTCAAGACATCTGGTTCAATCTTCACATATGTATATTATTAATATTATGAATATATTATGAATATTATGGCTGCATTCAGCCCTTGTTTTCACCATACATCTTCTTTCCCCACCCCATAATCTTGTTTCTCAATCCCAAGAGTCAAATTATGCAAATGCAGAAACCCCCATCCTCTTACTTCAGGAAGGAGTACCTGGCAGAGATCTATTCTGGTTGCTCAGCCATCTGAAAAGAAAGTTACCTCTGCTTGCAGAGTCTGTCTCAGATATCTGTGACTAGGCTTAGAAGCCAGGTGTTCATAAGTAAAAATTACAGGGGGCCATTGTTTCAGACTAAACTCTCCCATTTGCCCAAGAGATTAGGCTAGAAATCAAAACAGAAACATTCGTGCTGAGGTTCCACATCACGCTGCTGAAACTAAGCTGTTTATCTGACCTCCCCAGAAACCAGGATTAGAGAGATCATTGCCAAATTTCCCAAACAAGCCAGTTTCAGCTGGCATGGTAATGAAATTCCGTTTTGCTTTAATCCTGAGAGAGAGAAAGAGAAAGAGAGAGAGAGAGAGGGAGAGCGAGAGAGAGAGAAATCAGATGTTAACCAATTTCTATTCTTTTGTCTCTCTGTCCCTGCTTTACATGGAAAGTAATTTTGAAGTAACCAGTCTCCCTTGGGGTCTTGTTCCTGCTTTCTTCTGCCCTCTTCTATGTGTCAATAAAGCCAGTCATCTCTCCTTGGCTCATTGGAACATGTATTTTATTTTATGGAATCAAGAAATGGCAGGTTCCATGATCATAAGTGAAATCAGTTAAGAGATTTCTGTCTAAATTGTTCTATTTTTATTTTACAGCGTCTAAAGAACTTGGCAATGTTTCTGCTTCTCACAGCAAATTTTACTGAATCAAAGACTTTAAAGAAGCTAGAGCAGTGGGGAAACACCTGCTTGAAGCCCTCCCCCCTTCCCGCCATGACTCAGCCCTGGAGGCCAGATCAGAATCCTCCTGGTCAGGTCAGGTGTCATGCTTAATCTAACCCCTTCCATCCAACTTCCAGTTCTTTTCCATTAATTAAAAGAAAATTGACAAAATGTCCACTAACTATCAAGCAGTAGCCTAAGCAGTAAGATATGTCTCTGTTGGGGGGTTGTGATCTAGAGAATTACTTACAGATCAACTCTACTTCATGAACTGGTCAGAAAAATCTCTTACAAGGAGGGCAGACATTCTCCCAGGCTGGTCACAGAGGATGATGGATTCTGCCAAATGAAGGAGGTGGGAAGAGCTGTCTCAGAGAGCCAAGTGCAATTGAACTTACGAGATGGTACTTGCTGAGAACCAAACAAGGAGGGAGAAGGAGCTTCTGGTTGTTTTCTGTGCAGGACTTCAAGGCTATTCGATGGAGTCCACATGAAGTAAAGGTTGTCATAGTGAAGGTTTTGTCATTGAGATTTGAGCTCAGTTCTATCCCATCACCTCAGTGGAAGATACACCAGAGTAGGAGATGAGGCTGCCCATTGACCAGGGAACCTAAGTGCTGCTTAATCAGAATGGTTTGGAAAGGGCTGTGAGGACAGAGGGACACAAAATAGTACTTCACACACACACACACACACATACACAACCCCGCACCATTCCAGGCTTCATCTGCTGAGCTGCATCATGGTGGAACTATAGGAAGACTATATTCAAACTTCAATTCCCCACTCAGAGGGAGGAAAACTCCACCGTGTGTGTGTGTGTGTGTGTGTGTGTGTGTGTGTGCACGTGTGTGTGTGTGTGTGAGTGTGTGATGCTTCTCAGCAGCTCAGTAAGTGAAAAAAATCAAGAATCAAAACTTTCTATTCTTCTGCAATTTGCTTTGTCTCCTTCATGAACTAGTGAATTGTTAGTAGTTCCTTAAAATCACTCACCATATGACTACTTAGGTCAACCTGACCTTGAGTTAAAATGGTTCCAAGTGGGTTTTTATCTTGCTGACAAACAATAGAACCTTTATTTAGTCTTTGGCTCTGGGAGCCATTAGCTGGGTGAACCTCTCCTGAGTCCCAATTTCAGGCATTAGTAATTACACTTCCCAATCAACATGAGATGTAGTCAGACTCCTGCAGCTGAAGGGCAGGCAGGGGAGTGGGGAATGCTGAGAAACTTGGAACACAACCCAGCAGAGCTCAGGCAAGGGAAGACCCTCTGATCGTCCCTGTTTGATCTGTGTTCCTGTCTTGGGGGTCTCCTGCCTCCATTCATTTTGCTTTGGAATACTGTCTGTCTACTTTTTCATTTTCAACATGAAAATTCATTCACAACAGGACATCATCTGAGGATGGGCTAGATATTCACAAAGACACAATTGAGGATGTGTTAAATCACTGAGAGTGAGTCTGATGTATCTTCTTGATTAGGAATCTAGTCCAATCAATATCTTTAACAGGAAGCCTTATAAGATACCCAAACATATTAGGGTTTGCCAATAGTCAGGGGAGGGTGCTATGTGTTATCAGATATCAAGGATCCACAAGGAGGAGAAGTAGCTAGCTAAGATCTCTGAGGACTTAAATTCCCAATGAAAATCTTGCCTGTGGTCCTAGCCTTCCATTTGTCTTCAAAGTGCCCCTACTGCTCTAGACAAGATGAGCATGGTTTGAGTAATAAAAGGTTATTGAACTATGGCTTTCAAAAGTTATAATTTGGGGGCAAAGTGCAGGCAGGTGACTAAACTGTGAAAACTTCTACACTAGTTTTTTACCTCCTACAGTTCTGATGTTGAGACACATGTAACACCATCCTTGGATGCTATGAGCATTATGAACTCAATTATTTTCTTCATCTTCAGCTTGTTACCAGACACCTAAGGGAAATGATACTTAGGCTGTGTGTGTGTGTGTGTGTGTGTGTGTGTGTGTGTGTGTGTGTATGTGTGTGTGTGTGTTTATGTGTTTATGTATGCCAGTACTGTGACTTGAACTCAGGGCCTCATGTTCCTGCATAGCTTTTTCATTCAAGGCTGGCCTCTACCATTTGAGCAACACCTTCATTTCTAGCTTTTTGCCGGTTAATTGGAGTTAAGTCTCTCGAATTTGTCTGTTCAAGCTGGCTTTAAACCAGGATCCTCAGATCTCAGCCTCCTGACTAGCGAGGATTACAGCCATGAGAAATGGTACCCAGCAGAGAGATGATACTTATAAGGGAGGTTGGGAAAAGGTCTGGGCCTGTCCTATAGCTTCGAGGTCACAAAGGGCCTTGATATGAACCCCTGGTGGAAGATGAATTAATTTTAACTTCAGAGATGTCCCTTATTTATACCATCTTCAATTTAGTCATGTAATGAAAACAGATGCCTGTCAAGCATCTCAGAGACAGTAAAAGTAATTATATGTTACATAATTTTCTGACCAGGTACCTTAGCTGAACAACATGAAATCACTTGTGAAACTAACTCATGATTTCTGTTTTCCAAAATGACTTTGTTAAATTTGTGAAAGTCTTTAGAACTCTCTCGGTCCGATGCTATCAACTACAGTGCAATGGATTCCGACATAAATAAAATATGACTGTG